CTACTACCACTATTATTTATCGTACTACTACTACTACTACTACTGCTGCTACTACTTCTACTACTACCGCGATTGCGATTTTCATTGCGACTGCTACTTGTCTTACGACTACGACTGCGATGGCGACGACGGTCACGACCACGACAACGGCACGGCTACGATTGCGACTACTACTTCTATAAGTACTACTGCTCCTACTATTACTACTACTACTACTACTACCACTACTACTACTACTACTACTACTACTACTACTACTACTACTACTATTACTACTACTATTCCAACTACTAGTACTACCATTATTACGGCTGCTACTGCGGCTATTACTACTAACTATTACTACGGCTACTTTACTACTACTACTATTACTACTACTACTACTACCACTACTACTATTATTACTACTACGACCACTACTAGTACTACTACTATTACTACTACTACTACTACTACTACTACTTCTATTACTACTACTACTACTACTACTACTATTACTACTACTACTACTACTACTACTACTACGATACCATTACTGCGGCTGCTATCTTTTTACGATTACGATTTCTATTACGATTGCAAGTGTCACTAAGATTACGTTGTATATTGCATAAACATTGTTTACGAATTCTATTATTATTGCTGTTGCTGCTCGTTTTGTTCCTATAACTACTGCTACTACGACCACGGCGACGACGACGACGACTACGACTACGACTACGACTACTACTACTACTACTACTACGACTACTACTACTACTACTACTACTACTACTGCTACTACTACTACTACTACTACTACGACCACTACTACAATTATTACTGCGACTACGACTTCGGCTAAGAACGCGAGTGTTGCTGCTGCCACTACCACTAAACTACTAAACCACTACCACTACTACTGCTAGTACTAGCACTAGTAGTAGACGTGGTACTACTACTACTGCTATTTCTCATTCTACTACTACCATTACTACTTCTACTAGTACCATGCGTATTTCTACGACTACGATTACTATTACGACTACGACTACTACTACTACTACTACTACTACTACTACTACTACTACTGGTACTGCTACTTCTGCTGCCGCTGCTGCTACTATTATCACTACCACTATTACTACTATTACCACAACTACTATTCCTCTACTTTACTTTACTTCACTACTACTACTACCAGTACTACTACTACTTCTTCTTCTACTACTACTGCTACGACTGCTACTTATATTACTACTACTAGTACTACTCCTACTACTACAACTTTCACTATTTCTACTACTATTACTGCTATTACTATTATTACTACTACTACGACTACTACTACTACTACTACTACTACTACTATTACTATCAGTACTACTACTACTATTACTACTACTACTACTATTACTACAACTTCTACCACAAGTATTACTACTATCGCTACGACGACTGGGCTTCTGGGCACCTGGGCACCCGGGTGGGTTGCCGAAATCTGCGGCAAAGCTCCATAACCATGTGAATCCGCATGGACTCTACAGAGGCAAGATTTGATTGGGGAATAATTGTGTAGCTTTGTTGGAGCCTTCCCGGCGCGCGTCTGGTGCAAGTTGCGAGAGAATCTTTGATCAGGAATGCGATGTTCGCTGAACGTGCAGAACAGATTCTCGCTTCGGGGGGGGCGAGTCTGAGCATTGAGCAACGGGCACCTACCCCAACGCCATACACCGTATTTTTTGCGCGATCCTGATCGAAGAATTTGACTCCGGTACGCTTGTTCCTCTTCCCCGCCTGCTTCAGCCGCCCCTGGCGTCCCAATCCTCGTATGCACCTCTGTTTTCTCTGCGGCTGCGGGGTGCCGAACTGTACCCCGAACGCAAGCTTTTCGGTAACCGAACACATTAATCAATCATGGGGTCCAGGCTTAGGGACTGTGCGTAGCCGTGCAAGCGTTGTTTGATGTTCTTACTGGGTTTTGACGTATACACCATTCCCCGTTACGCAAATGCTTGGTTCGAGAATCGATTCCCGAGCTTCACGTCCATTCCTTTTGATGCGGCCCCCGCCCATCAGGGAAACTGGAACTCGCAGGGGGGGGCGGCGGCTCTTTGCGAGACGGGTCTTGGTGCCAGGGAAGGAGATGCGCGCGTGGGGATCTCTGCGTCGGATTGTTCCGCGCATCCCTCTTGCATCTGATCGCGGTCTTCTTAGAAGGGTCGCAGCGTCGGGGTAGACTCCCGTTCGATCCAGAAGTTGCAGTAATGTGCACGGGGTTCTGGCGTCGGGAGGCCTACGCTGGCGTGGTTTACGCGGGGCTTTGGTTTCGGGAGCGCCAGCCTGGTGCATTTTAGTAGGTGGAAAGCGCGAGTCATTTGCAAGGGATTCTGAGCTTCGGGAGCGCGAGCCTGGGGACAGTGTGCGACATATTCTGGCCTCGGGAGCGCGAATTCGGCGTCACGGGCGATGCACTTGACTAACGGTTCTGGCATCGAAAGCGCGAACTTGGTGCGCGTTACCACGGTTTCTGAGGTTCGGGCCTCGGGATCGCGAGTCGCCATTCCATTGGCCCCCAGAGTCGTGCCTCCATGCCTGGCCCGTGGGTCAGGGGACCTTGGGGATGCATCTGAGAGTCTCCTGGATTGCGTCACAGGGACCCCTTGGAGGGCTCGTGGGGGCATCTGATTGGTTTAGGGGGGACTCGGGGGCCGCATGGGTGCCTCATGGGTGCCTCCGGGAAGTCTATTGGGAGTGCTTGAGGGAGCTCTTGGGGCCCTCGCGGCGGGAAGGACTCGAACTGCCAGTTCGTATTGCCCTTATTGGGTCCTCTTGGGGCCCTACTGGGGCGTCTTAGGGGCCCCTGCGGTCTGGGGCCCTTTGTGTCTCTTGGTGCTCCATCGGGCAGTCTTAGGGCCCTCTTGGAGGCCTCATGGGCTGTTGGAGCGTTGAACCGTATTAGACGCTGTCAAGACGAAAAAGGCGTATCAGAAGACGCACGTTTTCCAAAGCCTTTGGGGGCCTTCTCGGCGGCCCCCTTGGCCGTTTTGAGGGCCTCGGTAGGTCGTCTCGAAGAAATCTTGGATCGTCGCGAGGTTACCCTGGGTCGTTCAACGCTCTTGGATTGTCTCGGTGCTCATTGGGCTGGTTGGCGGCTCTTTGGACGCTCCTGATACCCCTCTTTTCCCCCGATGTTCTTTTTGGCCCCAGGGGAGGCGGAGCGAGGTGGGGACAGCCAATCATTTCATACGCCTTCTCACTCCCGCCACGCAGGGATCCGCGGACACTGTAGTATGGCGTCGGTAGCGTGATTTCGGCTCACTTTGCAACGGATTGAGGCATCGGAAGCGTGAGTCTGGCGTATTTGACAAGGGACGGTCCTGGGGGCACGAACCTTGCGCATTCTCCACACGTCCCAGAGCCACAAGAAGTTCAGGCAACGTGTCGGTGAAGGTAACAGGCTGGTTTGGGGCTTTCTCCCTTCACGCGGACAGCAACACCGTCCATTGGGAAACATAAACATAAAGAAGCTACTGCTATACTAGTGAATACAGGGAAGTGGTATTGGTGCAGGAAGCAGGGCATCTCCGCCACGCAGCTTGATGGCCCCACAAGGGGGCCAGCGGATGTCTATGATATTTGCGTTTTTGATACGTGATTTGGATGTCCAAGTGTTTGTGGTCTCAATTTTCTGAGTGAAGTGAGAGGGGAAACGCGAGTATCGCGAGGCAGGTAGAACGACGGAGGGGGTACGACACCTGTGAGCGGTGCGCTGAAATGGGCATGGTGGCGCCATGCGGACCCTCCCATTGGGGCCTTCGGTGGCGTTCCCGTGGGACCACGAATCGTGCGAGGGGTGCGCTGACATGGGCGCGGTGGTGCAGTGCGGGCCCTCCCTGTGAGAGTTTCGGTGGAGCTCCCTCGTGGGACCACGCAACGTGTGAGGGGTGTGCCGAAATGTGGTGCGGTGGCGCCTCGCAGACCGTCCCATTGGTGCCTTCGGTGGAGCTACCTGGTGAGGCCACGAAGCGCGTGAGGGGCGTGCCGCAGTGGGTGCGGCTGCGCCATGCGGACCCTCCCACGGTTGCCTTCGGCGGAGCTCCTTGTGGTGTAACCAAGCGTGTGAGGGGTGTGCCGAGATGGACGGGGTGTGCCGAGATGGATGCGGCGTCGCCGCGCGGACCTCCCCTCCCTTGGTCTTCGGTGGAAGCCCTTTCTGGGGCCACGCCATGTGTGAGGGGAGAGCGGATGTGAGCGCGGTGGCGCCATGCTTGCCCTGGCATGTCGGGGCCTTCGGCGGAGCTCCCTATGGTGTCACGAAGCGTGTGATGGGGTGTGCCGCAATGGGTGCGGCTGCGCCGTGCGGGACCTCCTACGGGGGCCTTCGGTGGAGCTCCCTATGAGGCCACAAAGCATGCGAGGGGTGTGCCGGAATGGGTGCGGTGGTGCCACGCGGAACGTATTAGTGCGTTCGGTGGAGCTCCGTATGAGGCCACAAAGCGTGTGAGAGGTGTGCCGAAATTTGCGCGGTGACCCCATGCGGACCCTCCCAGTGGGGCCTTCGGTGGAGCTCCTTGTGAGGCCACGAAGCGTGTGAGGGGTGTGCCGAACTGTGAGGAGGGATGGGGAGCGGGAGGACCCGAGGGGGAGAGGAGAGGAGACTCGGGGCGCCAGTGATTCAAAGCTAAGACCCAACACCACAGGGTGGTTGGGAAGGAAGATCCAGCGCTGGTGTGAACAACTAAGACTGGCGAAGGGGTCACCGCCTGGATCTTCCGTCTTGACGAACGAGCAACTCTTACACATTGCAGTGCGGACGGAGGGGGCTATGAGTGCGTGTTGCTGGATGGGGGGCCCCCGCTCGAACAGGATCGTTCCCCCGGCTCCCACAACCCGCGCCCATTCCCATCGCCAGACCTCCTCCCTCTGGCCCTGCCATGGGTGTGGGTGTGTTTTGTTCATTCGTCACGTCCCCTCCCGATGCCTGCAGCGCGTGGGCTGGCGGGGTCCGGCCGGGGCAGGGCTCGCTCACGGCCATCCTGAAGGACGGGGCCCGGCCGGCCGCGGTGCCAGCGTCAGCGCAACCGTCGCCCGTGCTTCCCCTTCAAGGATGTTGCTGTTGATGGTTATGATGATGAGGATGATGATGATGACGAAGACGGTGATGGTGATGTATTTGCTGACGATGATGCTAATGTTCATGTCGATGTTGATGATGATGGTGATGTTGGTGATGATGACGATGGTGATGTTGGTGGTTATGATGATGACGATGATGATGAGGCTGATGATGCTGATTATGACGATAATGTTGCAGATGATGATCATTATGATGATGGCGATGATGATGATGCTGATGATGATAATGATGATGATGATGATGATGATGATGATGATGATGATGATGATGACAACGGCGACGATGACAATGACGACGACGACAATGGTGCCGACGGCGACAACAACGGCTGCGATTGCGGCGACGATGACGGCGACAACGCGACATGATGATGATGATGATGATGATGATGATGATGATGATGATGATGATGATGAGGACGATGATGAGGATGATGGTGTTGATGATGATGCTGATGCTGGTGATGCTGATGCTGATGCTGATGCTGATGATGATGATGATGATGGTGATGCTGTGAATGACGATGAGGATGCGGATGAGGATAAGGATGAGGAGGGCGATGATTTGGTCGAGGAGGACGATGAGGATAATGATGATGATGATCATGATGATGCTGATGATGATGATGCTGATGATGCCGATGAGGACGCTGCTGCTAATGATGCTGATGATGATGATCTTTATCATCATCATGCTGATGATGATGGTGATGATGATGGTGATGCTGATTCCATTTCTTCACTCCTCTTCCCTTTCATTCTTCCTTTCCCGTTAATTCTTCCCGTTAAGTGTCTCGTATTCCCTTTAATTGTCTTGTCTTTCCGTTAATTGTCTTGTCTTCCCGTTAATTGTCTTGTCATGTATTCTTGTTGATTGTTTTGTTTTCCCGTTAATAGTCTTGTATTCCCTTTCTCTGTGTTACTTTTCGACTCCAAGGCCCCAGTGGGTGCGTTCGCATACAGGAGGAGACGGAGGAGGAGGAGGAGGAGGAGGAGGAGGAGGAGGAGGAGGAGGAGGAGGAGGAGAGATGTCGTCGATAAACCTGTCAAGCTCGGTCTCGGGGACTTGTCAGCCTGGCGCCCGAGGGGGGCGCGGCCTGGATCCTCCTCGGGCCTCGGGCGGCCGTCCGGGGCGACTCCGGCGCCTCTGGAAGGCTCTTGGCGAGGCGCAACTGCAGGAGAGCAACCCGAGCTCCCCCACCCTTCGCACCACATGATTTTCATTGCTGGGGATTACCGTCCAAGGGTTCGGGGATTACCGTCCAGAATTAACGGACCTCCCGGGGCCCCACCTCCCGGGAACTCTTCCCGATCATTTCCCGATAATTATATTGATTACAACAATCACAACGGATTACCGGAAAGGCCCCCACCTCCCGGGGCCCCACCTCCCCGGACCTCCTGGGAAATGTTTCCCTCTGATGCCTGGACGGTAATTCCCGTTAATTCGGGACCTCCTCCTCCTCCTCCTCCTCCTCCTCCTCCTCCTCCTCCACCTCTTCCGAGCCCTCTCTCCTCGGGGCCCTGGGGACCCCGAGGGCCCGACGGGGCCCCCTGGTGAGGGCCCCCTCCTCCGCAGCTGGAGCGGGCGAGAGCTTCGACTGCCGAGCCCGTGCCTCCTCCCGTGCCTCCTCCCGTGACTCCCCAGGGCTCCTGTACACCTTAGGCGATGCTTAAGACAACCTAAATTTTCGGCCAGAGACTCGATGATTCTACTTTTTGAGTGTGAATCCCAAGATGTTGATGGAAGTTCTGGGTTGTAGTCCATTTCTGAGACTATGAATTTCTTAACCCATGATTTCTTAAGCATTTCGCAGGGTGTAGGCCTTTGAGGTCCACGGGTGTGGGCTTCCTGTAGCCCCATCCCCCCCCACGTGCAATATAGGAATATAGGCTAACCGGGTAAGACCGAGTATGACTGAAGCCCATAATCATTGGTTGGAGCAGGCGGGAAGTGTAGGGAAATTATAGGGAAGTGTAGGGAGATTGAGGGGAAATTATTGGAACTAGGGAGCTATAGGGAAATTATAAGGAAATTATTCCGACGACAGGACCACACATGAGAATATGTTTAGCTTACCCTTTGCCCTTTCCTCTTCCTCCTGGGGCTCCCGCCTGAGACTTCCTCACAATTCACTCACAGACGAGGCTCCCGCTCGAGACTTCCTCCATATTCAGGCCTCAAGAGCCCAAAAGTGACGACAGTTACACGTTGCGGATGACCCGCTCGGATTCGAACATGAAGTGCGGGCCCCATAGGGAGGGGGGCTCCCGCTTGAGACTTCCTCGCAATTCACTCACAGACGAGCTCCCGCTCGAGACTTCCTCCATATTCAGGCCTCAAGAGCCCAAAAGTGACGACAGTTACACGTTGCGGATGACCCGCTCGGATTCGAACATGTGCGCGGGCCCCATAGGGAGGGGTCTCCCGCCTGAGACTTCTTCACAATTCACTCACAGACGAGGCTCCCGCTCGAGACTTCCTCCATATTCAGGTCTCAAGAGCCCAAAAGTGACGACAGTTGCACGTTGCGGATGACCCGCTCGGATTCGAACATGAAGTGCGGGCCCCATCGGGAGGGGGCTCTGGCCTGAGACTTCCTCGCAATTCACTCACAGACGATGCTCCCGGCCTGATACTTTCTTTCCCATCGTCAGGCCTCAAGAGTCCAAAAGTAACTGACAGTTACACGGTTCGGATGACCCGCTCGGATTCAAACATGAAGTGCGGGCCCCATAGGGAGGGGGTCTCGCCTTGAGAAATTCTTCGAATTCACCACAGACGAGGCTCCGCTCGGAGACTTCCTTCCATATTCAGGTCCCAGAGCCCAGAAGGACGACAGTTGCACGTTTGCGAGTGACAGTTGCACGTTGCGGATGACCCGCTCGGATTCGAACATGAAGTGCGGGCCCCATAGGGAGGGGGCTCCCGCCTGAGACTTCCTCACAATTCACTCACAGACGAGGCTCCCGCCTGATACTTCCTCCATATTCAGGCCTCAAGAGCCGCAAAGTGACGACAGTTACACGTTTCGGATGACCCGCTCGGATTCGAACATGAAGCGCGGGCCCCATAGGGAGGGGGCTCCCGCCTGAGACTTCTTCACAATTCACCCACAGACGAGGCTCCCGCTCGAGACTTCCTCATACTCAGGTCTCAAGAGCCCAAAAGTGACGACGGTTGCACGTTGCGGATGACCCGCTCGGATTCGAACGTGAAGTGCGGGCCCCATAGGGAGGGGGCTCCCGCCTGAGACTTCCTCACAATTGAGACCTCCTCCATCTTCAGGCTTCAAGAGCCCAAAAGTGACGACAGTTGCACGTTGCGGATGACCCGCTCGGATTCGAACGTGAAGTGCGGGCCCCATAGGGAGAGGGTTCCCGCCTGAGACTTCCAAACAATTCACTCACAGACGAGGCTCCCGCTTGATACTTCTTCCATCGTCAGGCCTCAAGAGCCCAAAAGTGACGACAGTTACACGTTGCGGATGACCCGCTCGGATTCGAACATGAAGTGCGGGCCCCATAGGGAGGGGGTTCTCGCCTGAGACTTCCTGGCAATTCACTCACAGACGAGGCTCCCGCTCGAGACGTCCTCCATATTCAGGCCTCAAGAGCCCAAAAGTGACGACAGTTACACGTTTCGGATGACCCGCTCGGATTCGAACATAAAATTCGGGCCCCATAGGGAGGGGGCTCCCGCCTGAGACTTCTTCGCAATTCACTCACAGACGAGGCTCCCGCTCGAGACTTCCTCCATATTCAGGTCTCAAGAGCCCAAAAGTGACGACAGTTGCACGTTGCGGATGACCCGCTCGGATTCGAACGTGAAGTGCGGGCCCCATAGGGAGGGGGCTCCCGCCTGAGACTTCCTCACAATTCACTCACAGACGAGGCTCCCGCCTGATACTTCCTCCATATTCAGGCCTCAAGTCAGCGAGTAGTGATGATGATGATGATGATGATGATGATGATGATGATGATGATGATGATGATGATGATGATGATGATGATGATGATGATCGTTCGATGCCGATGATGGTGAGTGATCGTGGGATGGTGATGCTGATGGTGATGATCCTGATGAGTGGGGAGTGATGGTGATGGTGATGATGATGCGGAGGAGGAAGCAAAGAGGAGCAGAGGAGAGGGAGGAGGAGGAGGAGAGATCCTGCGCGGAGGGTGTGCAAAGAAAACAAGAACCCCACTTAGGATGTGGGGAAGCATAAGGAAGCTCAAACAGGGAACTATCGGCAACTCAAAACCCGATTCCCCCTCTTGTAACACAACGGGCGCGCTCAAGCCATGCCATCTCGCTCAAGACTCCTTTCTTTTCGTCGTTCGATTGGCCCATGCTTCTCGGGCCGGCTCCTCCAGGGGGGGGAAGGGAGGGAATCGAAACAGACGAATTGCATAAACATATATTTTCGGCGCTCTGCGCGGATTTCTTGGATCGGCGTTTGGCCCTCCTGGCGGCGCCTTCGGCACGGCCACATGCGCGCCCCGCGCGCCAGGGAGCGGGCTTCAGCGCAGATCCAAGACATCCGCGCGAAACGTTGGAAGTTTATGTGTATGAGCGGCGGCATTGCTGAGGTCAGCGTGCTCGCTTGATGATAGACGTCAAGCTCTTAACCGTACTGCACAAGGCGGGGGACTAGGATGTCACTGCTGGGAGGTTACACTCGGAATGGGCGCTGGTATGTCCTCGTCGGACCCCGAACGTGCTGACGACGACCTCCCGGGAGGTGCCTCGGAAGAGGGGGGAGGGCTGAGATATTTTCAGGAGGGGAAGCCCACACAGGCACAATGAATTCTCGATTCCCGCGAAAAAATGGGAACATATGGGACATGGGGGGGGGAAAACGGAAATCCCCCCCCCAAAAAATATATGGGGAATCTTGGGATGCGT